GGGGGTGGATTGGTTTCTCGCGCGTCTTTTCGACCGCCTTTCTATGGGGCCGACAGTCGGGGGGGAGTCAGATTTTTTTTTGTTTAGCCTGTAGTTTCCCTTTCGGGATTTGTGTCGCTGATTTGAGCGCTTCCTTATGTTGTCCATAACAATATCCTGGTCCCTTTTCCGCTGAACTCCTCCCATCGTGAAGTGTTTGACCTTTGAACAGCTTGGAGAGTCGGGGTGGGGGGGGGAAGGGGGGACTTGGAGAAAATGAACGACCAATGCGCCACTCAATTCATTTGCCGAGGCATTTGCGGTCGGACACTCGGGATGCTTGTCTCTCTCCCCAGAGACGTTCGCTCTCCCGATCCCAACATCTTCGCCACCGCCGCACCCTCGCAACCCCCCAATACAAAATGGTGCAGCCGTTGAGCGTCACACCAGCCAAACGCGGGTCCGGTGCGGAGGAAGACGGGCCTGCTCTGTCGAGCCAAGAGGACTTCGACATTAATCCGACGCCGACGATGTCGGTTGCCGTGAAGAAGCGTAAAAGCGCTAAGCTCGATGACCAGCCGTCTTTCACGAAGGAGCTCGAGCGGCTCCACCAGCTGGGCGCGAACGGTGGGTTGCCCGTCGTGGCTCGATCTGGGAAGCGAGTTCAAAAGCTCGGGTTGGGGTGGCCATTTGACCTTGGGCGGCGCGGTGCTGCATGGCCCCCTTCGACTGACGTTAGTTTGTCGTATGCTGACCTGTAACCTCAATCTAGTCGAAAACTACGAGGACACCTGGGCACGCCAATCGCTGCCTTCGATAGACCCTGCCACGCACCCTATCGGTAAGTGCCGCTGCGGTCCATGGTGCAGTGACCGCATTCGGCGGGTCAAGCAGTGATAGACCAATCCCACCATATCCTGACGTATCATCGCAGTCTTCCAACAAATTGAGATCGAAGAATGCGTCGCACAGTACCCACCGAACCTCCCCAACCCGTTCCAAGTGAAGGAGGCCTCGTCGATTCGAATCTACGGCGTTACTCCGGTGAGCGCCTCAGGGATAAAGCGACTATGCTGATGAATTCATCGCTCTTTGCCATACATGCACCGAGCCTAATTCGCCGATTTCTCGATGACAGGACGGACATAGCGTCCTCTGCAATGTTCATGGTTTCCTTCCCTACATCTACGTCCCGGCCCCGCGAGGATTCAAGGATCAAGATGCGATGAAATGTGACTACATTCGGGGGCTCGACGTAAGCTCCTTCTCATCCCAGAGTAACTTCATTGATGCATAGCTATCATTTCGGAATTCTCATTGCATTGAACCCCATCACAACAGACCACCATCGGCCCTTCGAAGCAAAGCCCTGGTCCAACGATCCTCAGCGTTAAATGCGTCAAGCGGTCGACTATCTACGGTTACCACGGAGAAGAGAAGGCCTTGTTCCTGCAGGTCTTCTTCCGACTCGCGAATCAAATTGCGCCCGCGAGAAATATCCTTTCATTTCTGTACTTCCCTATTCTCGCTTGGATCCTTTCTCTCTGCGATGATTCCTTAACTCCTCAGCACAGGCCTATAAGAACGGGTTCACCGCAGGCGCGACGGTCGGGCGTGTCGTGTGTGACCCAACTTATGAAAGTAACCTCGCATACCCTCTTCGGTTCATGATCGACCTCGAGGTAAGTTTGTTAGGGAAGGTTCTTGGGGGATGCTAACTCCTGTGTTAACTCCTGCGAGGATGCAGAAAGGATGGTGGGGAGGAGGCAAGGGTAATCGGCGAGCGGGGCCGTCCGAGAAAGCACTTGGAAGTTATCTTATAGTCTCGTCCTTATAGATACAAGGAGCTAGCTGGCTGGAGATCCCTGCGGGTAGCTATACTGCTCGTCCGCAATCGGAAAAGACGTCGACATGCCAGCTCGAAGTCGACCTGCAGTAAGTAGTTGAATTGCTCGCGCCCCTCCCGTGACAACGTCGCATCGCCTCTGACTGAAATCCATCTCGCTCCCTGCTTTGCAGCTATGAAAAGATCATCGCGCACCAGCCCGAGGGGGAATGGTCAAAGATCGCTCCGCTTCGTATCCTAAGCTTTGATATCGAATGCTCGGGGCGAAAGGGTGTCTTCCCTGACGCAAAGATCGACCCCGTCATCCAGATCGCGAATATGGTCACGGTGCAAGGTAGGAAAGCAAATCTGCAATTCGCATTTTCCTTGCGCCTCAGGAAGGACGCCTATCTCTAGCTTTACTCACAATTTGACATTACCCGAATGCGTGAAGGGGAGTCGACCCCCTTCGTCCGTAACGTCCTCACCCTCAAGCAATGCGCAAATATCGTCGGAACACATACCATGTGCTTCGAGACCGAGGTGGAGCTTTTGAAGAAGTGGCGGGAATTTGTTGAAGCGGTATGTTGATTCATTGACCGTACTTGTCGCGATTTCCCTTTCGAAAGTGATATCTCATATTCTCGATTTTTACTCCCCAGGTGGACCCGGATATCATCATCGGATACAACATCAACGGCTTCGACTTTCCTTATTTGCTGGACCGCGCCGAGGCTTTAGATGTCGTTGAGTTCCCACACCTGGGTCGATTAATATGTGAGTTTCGATTACATGCGGATAATCGCTAGTAGAGTATGTTCGAAATGGTTCGCTGCTCAACCGTATTTCAAATTTTATGTTCCCCGCAGCGAGCACAACGAGGGCGAAGGACTCCCGTTTCTCCTCGAAAGCGCACGGCACGCGTGATATGAAGACGATTAACCTCGAGGGCCGTCTCCAAATGGATGTTTTGATGATCATGCAACGCGACTATAAGCTTCGATCGTATACGCTTAACTCTGTTTGTGCCCATTTTCTCGGTGCGTGCTGGTGAAGTTGCCCGCGTGATGTTGCGGGTTAGGCTTGAGGCGATTCGCTCCGAGCTCGCTCCTGGTTATCCATTGTTCTCTCTATTCTAACTGATTTGTTCGTCCTCCAGGTGAGCAAAAGGAAGATGTCCACTACTCGATCATCTCAGATCTGCAGAACGGCAATGATGAGACCCGCCGCCGTCTCGCTATTTATTGTTTGAAGGTAAATTCCATCCACGTATTCCCTTATTGTCGACACTCTCGCCC